CACCTCACTTCAGAGATGATGTTTTTCAGTGGAAGCAGTTCACATGTCTAGTTGTGAATCAGCAGAGTGATGAATCATTAGGGAACAGGGGGAGAAAATCTGATTCAGTTCACATTTAAAGGCAAATCTATCAAATCTGCACAGACTGAAACAATATGAGGACCAAAATGCAGTCACCCTGCAAAATATTTCATTCTCCAACCAAGCAATGGCCACAAAAAATGCACATATTAAGGGGCAATGTGCAGAAAAATGAATAGATTGGTGGAAATAACATACAAAAGGGCATGATATTACAGTTGTTGTTATTGTTGTTGTTTAGTTGTTTAGTCGTGTCCGACTCCATGGACCAGAGCACGACAGGTACTCCTGTCTTCCACTGGCTCCCACAGTTTGGTCAGACTCATGTTCGTAGCTTTGAGAACACTGTCCAACCATCTCGTCCTCTGTCATCCCCTTCTCCTTGTGCCCTCCATCTTTCCTAACATCAGGGTCTTTTCCAGGGAGTCTTCTCTTCTCATGAGGTGGCCAAAGTATTGGAGCCTCAGCTTCAGGATCTAAACTTCCAGTGAGCACTCAGGGCTGATTTCCTTAAGAATGGATAGGTTTGATCTTCTTGCAGTCCATGGGACTCTCAAGAGTCTACGGTAGTTTCTTGCAAAAATGGGCACATCCTTTAAAATGGCATACAAAAATGTGTTTATTAGGAGAAATTTGCACTAAGATGAATTTAATATTGGAAAAAGTGAGAAACAGAGAGAACTGAAATGGACAGATCCTTCCATCCTTGTAATGATACTGACTTACTTATAGGGATGTGCAAATCAGTATTCTTAAACACATACTTCCATGGATTAAACCAAACTCTCTAGTCATTAGACAGCACTTCAAATATAGTGTCATATGGGAAGAGGGACCAACTGTGAGTTGTGTATAATGTTCCTCTCTGAGAAGCTAATATGGGGTGTGTGTGTGAGAGAGAGAGATGACTTAGAAAGCTGAAGATCTGAAGCTAAGGACTTGCAGTTGATAGCCAGGACATTTTAATTATGTCTAATTATTCTTCTCCATGCAATCATAAATGAATCATGTATCACTATTTATATTTGATATTCAGGCACAGTATATATACTGGATTAGCAGAGTAGCAGCTGAATCTTTAGATATCATACAAAGAAGCTAAAAATAAGACATCCTTTTTTAAAATCTTATGCCTTCCTAGGTTTTCTAGACGTTATCACAATGTTCTCTTCTTACAAAGCAATGATTACATTCTCCGCGTAACCTAAAACCATCACATCAGGTATAGGTCTTCCTCAGCAGAGCATTACTAAAAAAGACATTTTCCAGAGAGATTTTAATGCCAAAGGAGGAGGTTTTCAATTTGTTTTTGAGCAAGGACCTCTTCCTCCCTGTTTTCTTGCTTAACAAAATAGAAAACAAAAAGGAGCCTGCATAACCCCTAGAATGTTAACCACGAAAGCAGAATAAAGTAGAAATTGAATACATTTGATGCTTCAAGCTTAAGAGGACTACATTATATTTCACTATGAGAAACAACAGTAGGATTCTAATAAGCTAATTAACCTTCTGCTCAGAAACACTGTATGAGTGTAATAAATGGAAAAGACATCAACAAAAGAATTGGGATTTTGTAATGCACAGAGCAGGTTACTGACTTGAAAAATAATTCAGAGGGTGGTTACACACACACACACACACACACACACACACACACTTTTAACCCAGTAATCAACATTTGAAACTCCATCATAGGTAGCTTTTGAGAGCCGTGCTTATGTAAAGTTGATAAAAGTGTACATACTACTCCATCTTGGAAAGACATTGCTCATGACCCCGCCTTTGCATAGCTCTCTCTGCTATGAAGGCTGTCATTCATCTTTTCTTATTTGTTCTACTTAAATTCTTCAATCTCTCTGCGGTGGCATTTCTTCATTTCTCCCATCATGTGACCTATAAGCTACTGAAAGCAGGACAAGCATAACAATATGCATGTTTACTTGAAAAACCAGTTCCAATGAGTTCAGAGTATAGTATGCAAGAACATGGTAGCTCTACTGTTGAAGCTGAGCAGTTCTGTCTCTGTAATATGCCCAGATAGAAAACTTCCTAGAAGCTCCCATTGCTCTGTCCCTGCTCCTGCAAACCTAGCAGTTCAAAAGCACACAAGTGCAAGTAGATAAATAGGTGCCGCTGCAGCAGGTAGGTAAATGGCGTTTCCGTACACTCTGGTTTCCATCACGGTGTTCCATTGTGCCAGAAGTGGTTTAGTCATGCTGGCCACATGACCCAGAAAAGCTGTCCATGGACAAATGCCGGTTCCCTCGGCCTGAAAGTGAGATGAGTGCTGCAACCCCATAGTCACCTTTGACTGGACTTACCTTTTACCTTTACTACTTTGGATACAAGCCACTGTTAGTGTGTTATCAACTCTGTAATTGAGATGCGTATGTCAGAAATCCTGTCCCAACCCTCCACCTCAAGTTTAGAGATGACCTGCGGCTTTTCTTTCTACCACTCCTTGCCATGGCCAACTAAACATGACCTTGCCATAGCTGGGAAGAACAACAGCAAAGTGGATTCATTGCCAGGAGGAGAGGATGTGCATTCTTCAACCTTATCTTCCTTGCTGAGACCATTGATGTTGTAAGGTTTTCTGCATCCTGAGATGGTTAATTGAATTCCATGCTACCCAATAGGAAATCATCTCTCACTGACTGTGAAGGAAAATGCAGCCCAATGCAATGCAGCCCAAATGTAAGCATGCTCACTCAAAAGTAAGAGCCACTGAGGCTGGATCTAGACACATCAAAGAAGCATTTCAGTTAAATGCGTTGCAAACTTTGTGTGAGAAATCAGGTTGGAAAAAACAGAACTCCACAGCGTCATCTGGTGTCACAGTGCTTTATGTATATACAACGCATATAAAACGCTTTTTCTTTGCCAATGTAACTGAGTCTTGAGTGCAGTAGGCCTTACTTCCAAGTAAAGGTGTACAGGGTTGCAACCTTATGGTCTGATTCCATGCATGGCTATTCAGAGGACAGCTCCGTGGAATACAACTGTTAATCATATTTAGGACCAAGGTTCATTTTTGTTTAAGCCAGCCTACCTAGACATGTAATTTTATGTTGTTATGAACTGTATTGGTCCAGATATAAGCCAGTCCTGAATATAGGCCATGCTCCTAAAATGAGCTCTCTTAAATCACAACTTCACCTATAAGATCGCAACTCAGATTTTATACAAGCCAGATCTGAGAGAAAGTGCAACCTTTATTCGACCGATATGGTGTATATTTGAGAACTGCTGATTTTACTTGCATTTTGATGAAGGTCAGCTTTTAAACTATATTATATGTAGCTCAACATTTTTAGTGTTTGCTTTTATCAGTATTTTAAAATTACAATTCTCTCTATATATTTTGAATATGGTTAGAGGATTATTTGATGATTTACGTATAAACCTGTTAAATAAATAAGTTCCTTGTGAGGATGGCAACTGCAGTTGGTATTTAGGTGAAATAAGAATATTACTGATAGTCTTACAGTTGATCTTCCTATTCTTTTATAAGTAATAGGTACTATTTTAACCTTGAAAAGGCTTGGAAAAACATCCAGAAGCTTAAGCAATGGATAGTATCCATTAGTTGCATCTTGGCATCTTGGCATTGATGGATTTCAAGGGGAATCACCTTGACCTACAACTTTCTTATCCATTTACCTTGATAAGAGTCTTTGTGACCCCAGTAAAACAATGTTGCTTTTGGTGGATCTCTGTGCTTCTCTCTTGTCCACAGTCTTTTCACTCACAGCTCTATCAACTATTTCTCCAGTGCATTATTCTGGCAGGCTCATTGCAACGTGAACTGCGAAGTGGCTTCCAATAATGTATTTTTTAAAAGCAAGACTTTATGAAACAAAGCAATGTCATTTAAACTTGCAGAGTGGCAAAGAGGCAGAAAAGTGGGAGCAAGCCCCATAGAGAATAACACATGCAAGGATGTGCATGCTCTTTATGTGCACCCATCAAAGTTCCAAGACTGGTTATAGCTCCTGGCATCAGGGCTGGCCCCAGGCCTACTGTTGCCTGAAGGACATGATGGCGCCAGATTAAAAAAAGCAAGGTATGAAGGTTGAGTGGTGACTCCTGACATTCAAACAAACATCCTTAGATAAGAGGGCAGCATTCCATTATGAGGCCACTTTCTCCCAGGTGCTCCAACTGAATGCCAACAGAAGATCTGTAGGGTGTGGCGCTTTGGTCTAAACCACTGAGCCTCTTGGGCTTGCCGATCGGAAGGTCAGCGGTTCGAATCCCCAAGACGGGGTGAGCTCCCATTGCTCTGTCCCAGCTCCTGCCAAGAAGCGGTTTAGTCATGCTGGCCACATGACCCAGAAAAGCTGTCTGTGGACAAATGCCGGCTCCCTCGGACTGAAAGCAAAATAAGTGCTGCACCCCATAGTCTCCATTGACTGGAATTAACCACCCAGGGGTCCTTTACCTTTTACCTTTACTTTAGGGGGTTAAGCAGGAGTGGTCTTACAATTAGGCAGAGTGAATGACCACCTTAGGGAGCAGATTGTTTATTATTAAAACCCCTTATCTGTACTGAAACCATCTCACTCAATAAATTTATTGTACTAGCCAAATGCCATGACAATTCAAGACAATCAATTTAAAATATAACTGAAACAGCTGCAAATAAAACCAGTGACCATATATATTGTGAGATAACTGATAACAGGGATACCATTATGGCTACACAAACTGAGTTTCAGTTTCAACCTCTGAATCCCCCTTACAATTTGTGGCAATTTTATCCAGTTCCTTCTTCCTAAACCTTTTTGCCAGCAGAACAAAAAGAGCCACTTTATGTGTCACTAAGGCATTGTCACTCAACAGCCACTGAACCCTTTCCATCAGAGAGAACCTGCTTTGTCATACAAACAGAGATTCATTTATTTTTAAAAAAGTACCTCCTTGAATCTACGTATAAGGGACCAGACAACATATAAGAAAACCTGTATAATTTGATTCCCACAGAAGGCTGTTCCTCAGATACATATGGCACACAGTCAGAAGATGCTCAGTGAATAAAGCTGTGAGTCTTTTCAAATCATTTAACTGGGCTCAATCCACTCTTGCCTTTATCATTGTCCATCCAGCTTCAGTGTGTAAAAGAGATGCAGATATTCCAGAAGGTAAAGAGAATAATAAACAAGCAAAAGACGAAATTACTGGTGAGCTGTACCCACCATTGTGAATGCTAAGGAGGTTATGATGGAATGAGGCCATCATCTGGCAGTGGGATGCTGTGGAGCAATGAGAAGGCAAGTTCACTTGCCAAGTGGGATAGCAGCTTGAAGGCAGCCGATATCCATGGTTGGAAGGTGGCTGGTGGCAGGTGATGGACCTTGTGGAAGCTAGCAGATGCTGGCCGGTGGAGTTTGTATTTTTGGGTGGTAGTGGGTGTTGCAAGGCTGAAGCAGTCTGATATTTGTGGATCTAAGCTGGTTGAAATTCACCTTTAGAAGCCTGTTGACAGCAGCTGTGTGAACATCTGTGGATTCAAGCTGGGGTGTGTACATGCTTCAGTGGAAAGTGGCTGATGTGTAAATGTGTCTGTGACTGGGATGTTTCAAATGCAGCCAAGACAAATGGCATTTGTCTGGATGTGTTTAGGGGGTGACACAGGTGGAGCTGCCTAGGCAATGCTGTTGGATGGCAGCCATCTCCTTCATGGTGCCTGTCTGAAGGAGATGTCTGAAGCCAGCACATTTTTTCTCACCACCTGTGAAAGTGATGGAAAGAACCACAGGGTTTAATCAAGACATCTTCCATTATAAATAAATGCCTTTCTAAATACATTTAAGCACTGTTCCCTCCCCCAAAATGAATGATGGGAGGCTGTGTAGATGCTTCCCCAGTGGTTGCCATTGGCTACAAGCTCCCTGTGATGTCACAAAGGGATGTGGTGGCTGAGGGGAAAGTGGCAGTTACTTGTGTGAGGGGAGAGGGAGGGAGCAGTTCCAGCAGAAGAAGCAGGAACTTCAGGGGAAGTTGGCATAGGCAGAGTCAGCTGCAGACACAGAAGGGAAAGCTGGGTTGACTGCCTCCTGTCTACCTGAGCTGCCAACATTTTGCTGTTGCAGATGTCTCAAGACTCCTGTACTTGTTTCACTTGGTAAAGGTAAAGGTAAAGGTACCCCTGCCCGTACGGGCCAGTCGTGTTCGACTCTAGGGTTGTGCGCCCATCTCACTTAAGAGGCCGGGGGCCAGCGCTGTCCGGAGACACTTCGGGGTCACGTGGCCAGCGTGACGAAGCTGCTCTGGCGAGCCAGCACCAGCGCAGCACACGGAAACGCCGTTTACCTTCCCGCTATAAAGCGGTACCTATTTATCTACTTGCACTTAGGGGTGCTTTCGAACTACTAGGTGGGCAGGAGCTGGGACTGAAAGACGGGAGCTCACCCCGCCGTGGGGATTCGAACCGCCGACCATACGATCGGCAAGCCCTAGGCACTGAGGTTTTACCCACAGCGCCACCTGCGTCCCTTCTTGTTTCACTTACATAGCTTCAAAAAAAGGGGGGGAGAAAAGAAAAGAAAAGAAAAGAAAAGAAAAGAAAAGAGGAATGGATTTTAGCTCCAATGAGCAGAATAAATTCTTATGTCCTAAATTCCCCACTGTTCTAAGAAGTCAGAACTACCAGGGGTGCAGTTATCCCTGGGTTTGGCTTCCTTTGGAAGGCCACCTCGAGAGTTATTGTGATTTCCTAATATTTGTGCTTCCTTAAAAAATATACATACTTTGCATGTCCACTGCAATTCTGTCCCTTGCTGCTTTTCACACAAAGATCTGAAGATGGAAATAATAATAATAATAATAATAATAATAATAATAATAATAATAATATAGTTATTATTTCTTACATCCTGCCTTCCTCATATACAGCATAGGGTGGCTAACAAAATCTAAAATCACAACACTAGAACCAAAATATAAAATGCAGTACTCAACATTTTAAACAATCAGAAATATAGTTATATCACTCTTTGACTTTTGCCTAACCTTCTGGGACCATTTTAGTTCCCACAAAGTCATGTCACCTGCATAGTATCAGCTGTCAACTCCTGTTTAGTCAGGGCTGAGCTGCTGGCCAGGTCTTCCTCCAGGGCAACCCACAATGATTCTTCTCAGGAATCTGTTAGGGAACCCATAAGGGGAAAAAACCAATGGAGGCTGGTCTATTAGAATTAGAACTTAGCCTGCCCTTAGCCAGGCCCCACCTGTCTGACTTCTTATTTGCATCCAGTTCAGAGAAGCCCTGCCTATCAACTTCTACCTTAGTGTCAAAGTTGCCCTTGCAAAACTGAGCAGGGCCGAGGATGGGGACAAAACTAGAATGAGTTGTGTCCTTGGCTCTGCCTCTGCTTTCTGTCAGTCTCCCAGCCTTTCCTCCTACTAGTCCCAATAAGCACCACCCACCATTGCTAATATATGCATTTTAATGCACATTTTACCCTAGTATATGTATTTTTGTACATAGCTTGTGGCTGGAGAACTGCATTGCAAAATTCGGAGAGCTGCAAATTTCAAAAAATGTGTTTCAGTTCATGCATTTTTTAAAAGTATGTATTGGTTAGATTTGTATTTAAATGTGAACTCAATCAAATTTCTCCCCATTCCTAATACCTCTAAATGGGAACACTGGGAGAAAGAGTGATAGTTTTCATGTCCCAAAAGATAGCTGATTGGGCACTGTGGCAAACAAGATAGTGGATCATTTTTTATCTGAGCTAGCAGGGCTCTTCACATGCTATTGCTGAGCTGCTGGGTCCCCCTAATAATTTTGCCTGCAATAGCCAAACAATGCTCCTCAAAACCTTTCAGTTATGAAACCCTTTAGTAATGAAGGTGCATCTTCAACATTCCTTGAAATTGCACAATTATTCCCAACTCCAGGAGTTCCATCAGTGTCTAAGAAATTAGCTTTCACTTCATTATATCTAGCCCCCTGTTGCTTCACCTGTGGCTTCCTTTCTTTTGTAAGATGAATGTAAAATATTACTAGCAAGCATAGGCAAACCGAAACTTCAGATGCATATTTCGCATCTCAAATCCCTCTATTGGAAAAGTATCAACCAATACCTCCACAATGATTTTAATGACCTTGGTAGCTTTGAACCTGCCAAACCGTCAACATCTTGAAACTTTTTTATCACCTGTCAACAAATTTATGATGACAAATTATGACAATAAATTTATGGTCTATTGTCAAAACATAAACAAGATGGATTATTCTGACAGATTCAGAAGCTTGGTTTTGCTCTATTTCTCAGCTGGAGACGTGGCTAATGAATGGTGTTTATTGTTGTTTTGTGGCTTATTGTTTATTGCTATTAATGTTAACCAGCATTGCTTCAAATCAATTATCTGAAGAGAATTTCCTTTTAGATAGAATAAGGGATCTCCCCTCATTCCAATACTCCTTACTAGATGTTGCTTTACCCCTTTTCAGAGCCATGCCATGCAATCTTCTGCATGTCTACTCTGAAGGAAATCCTATTTATGTACTCCCATGTAAATATTTGTGGGATTGCAGCCTTAGCACCATTACATATTGAATAATTTAACTGCAGTCCTAAGGACCAGTTAAATAGTGTTTCAGCTTTTGTAATGTAAAACAGCTCCGTTTTATCTGGATAATGGCCAGATAGGAAAGTGAAACCTCTGGTCCATGGAGCAAACTTGGCCCTCCAGGCTGTCTTTCCCAAACCACACCACCTGCCCATACCTGAGGACGTATGTGATGTCTGGTGTTGGACAGGTAAGGTAAAGGGACCCCTGACCATTAGGTCCAGTTGTGGCCGACTCTGGGGTTCCGGCGCTCATCTCGCTTTATTGGCCGAGGGAGCCGGCGTCATTTGGCCAGCATGACTAAGCCGCTTCTAGCGAACCAGAGCAGTGCCCGGAAATGCCGTTTACCTTCCCGCCGGAGTGGTACCTATTTATCTACTTGCACTTTGATGTACTTTCGAAATGCTAGGTTGGCAGGAGCAGGGACCGAGCAACAGGAGCTCACCCCGTCACGGGGATTTGAACTGCCAACCTTCTGATCGGCAAGTCCTAGGCTCAGTGGTTTAACCCACAGCACCACCCACGTCCCTTGTTGGACAGGTAGAGATATAGAAAAGTTTTGGAAAGCAAAATGATCGAGGGGATAGAATGGCACCCATATGAAAAAAAAGTTGCAGTGTTTGTGACTTTGGGGTTTAGAGAAAAGTTGAGCAAGTGGTGACATGATGGAAGTTAAAAAAACAACCAATGGCATGGATGAAGTATGTATGGATAGAGAAAACCCCCTTTCTCTTATAACACTAGAACTCAACATCCATAAATGTTGGGAGATTTAAGGCAGATAAAAGAAAGTACTTCTTCATGTAGAGTGTAGCTAAACTATGTAACTTGTTCCCACAGGAGGCAGTGATGGCCAGCAACCTAGATGGCTTTGAAAGAGGATTAGATAAATTCATGAAGGAGATAGCTATCGGCAACTAGTAGCCAAAATGGCTGTCCTCTGCCTCCACAGTTTGAGGCAGCAATGTTTCTGAATTGAAATTGAAATTGAAATACTTTATTGTCACTTGTACAACTTGTATACAGTGAGATTACACGGACACCCCCCACTCAGCTCTCTTAGTCTTAATTCCCCTCGTTTACTGACGCACACCCACCAACCCGAAAGTCAGTTGCCCTGTTGTTATCTTTACATTCAGCAGCCAAACATCCTATGGATAGAAGCTGTTCTTTACTAACTAAAGAACTAATCATGCTTCTATATCTTCTGCCTGAGGGCTGGAGATCAAGAAAGTGCTGGCCAGCATGTGAACCATCCCTGAGAATTTTCCTCACTCTCCTGAGGCAACGTTCTTCCGCTATTTCATCCAGCGGATTCACAGGACAGCCCATAATATCTTGTGCTGTATTCACCACCCTCTGTAGGCACTTCCTATCAGTTGATGTCAAACCAGCGTACCACACTGTGATGCGGTATGAAAGGACACTTTCTATTGTGGACCGGTAGAAGGAGATCATCAAATGTTGATTCCAAAAAGAATACCAGTTGCTGGAAACTACAGGAGGGAAGAGTGCTCTTGTGCTCAAATCCTGCTTGTGGGTTTCTCCCCCCAGGCATCTGGTTGGCCACTATGAGAACAGGATGCTGGACTAGATAGGCCATTGGCCTGATCCAGCAAGCTCTTCCTGTGTTCTTACATGGCTGGATCAGCTTCTCGCAGAGCCAATTTCTGCAGAACTCAGGATTGAACTTCTTGTGCAAAAGTAAGTTTGTTGGGATTTAAGTGTACAACCGAGGAGACACAAGCTAAAATCTGTACTCTAGCCATGAGCTTTGCTGAGAAACCTTGAGATACTCACTATCTCTCAGCCTAACATGCCTCACCAGGGGTGGCGTGAGGCTAAAATGAGAATGAGAGGATTCCTATAACCTGGCTTGGAGGCTTCATTGGAGGAAAAGGGGCATATACTGTATTTTTCCATGTATAAGACACCCCCATGTATAAGACAACCCCCTTTTTTTTTTAACCCTAAATTAAGAAAATGCACTGTGCACTATCTGTGTATAAGACAACCCCTTATTTTAAACTTCAACAATTTAGAAAAAAATATAGTCTTATAAACAGAAAAATACGGTAAATGTAATAAATATATACATAAATCTTGTATATACACATATGATCTGGGACTGCTGTCTTAGAATGCAATCCTGCTCATATCTCCTCAAGAATAAGTTCTATTAACCTTGATGGGGTTTACACACAGGTAGGGTTGCAGCCTTGTTTATTGAAACCAAGCTAAATCTTTCCTATATGTGGAAATTCCCTTCAATATGACTTTTCCAAGTATCCTGCAGTCCTTGAACTAATTTCATAGGTATTTTTTTCCAAGCTGAAGACAATTACCCCACACACACACGCACTGCAAATTGTATTTAAAACCACTTGTCAGACATCATAGGCTCAATCCTGCCACAGTTAGAAAAACACAAATTGTAAATGGAGGAGAACCACCTGTAGCTAATAAAAAAATAATCACCTATTTTCTAGGAAATCAGTCTTTCAATTATCCATCAATCACTGGCCTCAGAAGTTTGGCTATCTAATAATGTATCTGCTTTTTGTCAGGGAATCCTGCCAGAACCGCTCTTGTTGCTGATATAGATATGAAAAACAGACATCAGACACTGAGCGTTTCCCCCCTGCCCATGTCTGCAAAAAGATTTTCTGTGTCTGAAAAGTTCTTCCTGTTCTGAGTCCAAGGAAAGGCCATTGCTGTTAAATAGTATGAGGCAGGGTAGCAACGCAACTGTTAGGAGATTTTCTTCTGCAGTGGGGAAGCACAGCAGGGAGAAGTTCAGCCCCAACATTTGAGTGAGGGGTCAGGTATTGAGAGCAGAGATGGGCAAATCCCACCATTTTGATTTCCCTGTTTCTCATTTTTCCAGTCATCGGTTTGGTTCTCCACCTTTTCACATCAGTTTGCAATGCAGGAAATACTCATAAAAATTCATCAACACTTTAGTATGAATTTATTCTAATATACACATTTTCTTGTGTAGCTCTTCCGAATATAATGCAATTTTGCACATTATTTTCACATATACATTAACATACAGTTTACCCTAGATAATGCACTTCTTTGTACACCTTACTTAGCTGGCAAACTATATTGCAATATCTGGAGAAATGTGAATTTTGAAGAATGTCTGTGTTTTGGTTTCATTTTGTTTTGGAAAATGTGAATTAGCTACTTGAAGTGCAGACTGAATCAAAACCCTCCCCCATAGACTCATAGGCAGGTGTTGTCCAATGGGCCCCTAGGAACTGTGGTTTGAAGAACTATTTCGGATTTCCCCCCAAAATGAAATGTCCTGTGGATAGAAGCAATTGTCCTCACTGGCATCAATGAAGCCCAGATAAAGTGGTACCTCAGGTTACATAAGCTTCAGGTTACATACGCTTCAGGTTACAGACTCTGCTAACCCAGAAATAGTACCTCAGGTTAAGAACTTTGCTTCAGGATGAGAACAGAAATTGCACAGTGGTGGTGCAGCGGCAGTGGGAGGCGCCATTAGCTAAAGTGGTACCTCAGGTTAAGAACAGTTTCAGGTTAAGAACAGACCTCCAGAACGAATTAAATTCTTAACCTGAGGTACCACTGTAGTTGTTTTGGTGATGGGGGCATTTGCAGTTGCCTGGAGATCTTGGGTGATGGCACCAGGCCCCTGTGTGTGTCAGGCGGATAGCATTCAGAGCCGTAACTTCTCTGTCTACCTGTGTGCCATGTGTCAGAGGAAGAGAATCCCCAGTATTTTTATTTATTTATAAAATTATTTCTATACGGCCAAATCATGAAATATCAGGATGGTGTTCGGAATGGAAATCAATTCAGTCAATAGGTTTGGTATTCACTGTTGTTTCTTTCAATCCGTAAATGGCATGTAATTGATTACATCCCTCCCCCTCCCCCCCAATTTGCATTGTGTTTCTTTTGAATTTAAATGAATGGAGTGAAATAACATAATGACAATGAAATTTACGCAATTAATTCCATAACTAGTAACTTACATATGTTATGTAATTTCAGAGCGGGGGGGGGGGAGAGACATTGCTGCATGTGACAAATACAGGGCAAAATGAAAAACAGTGCTTTCTTACATCCCTAATTACTAGTACTTGTACTATATCCACTTCCGTAGCCTTCACGTAAAATTGGGACTTAACAGACTTAGATTTAAATATTCCATGTCAATCAACTTACAGATTGCTTGAGCTGTCCTTTTATTTCATTGTCATTTTCGCATGTGGTTTATGAAGAATTAGAAATGGACGATGCTGACCAGGAGTGCAGAATTTATTTACTTTTGTAGCTTCCTGTAATGCACGTGAGTGACATGGTTTATTGTAGGGCAGCCTGATGCCATGGTTGCTCAGAGACTTGTCACAGTTCCAGTGTTTGCAATGGCATTGCATCAGGTCTGTTTGCACTGCCAATACAACATGGCGATTTCCAACACTATGCTGGCACAATAGCACTTGCATCTTGTATTACGCAGTTGTTAGCTGGCTCCCCAATGCTTGGGACTGGGCTGTGAGCCATCTAGATGCCTTATCTGAAGAATTCAGGATATCCCATCGTACAAATCACCGGGACATGCCAGCTTTTCAGGCGAATGTTGTTATGCAGGACTGGAATGTTAGGCTATATCAGTCTTCTCCAACCTGGGTGAACTCCAGACTGTCAGGAGGGATTCAATTGCATACTGGAAATTTTGGTTCCTGCAGTTAAAGTGAATTAAAAGGCCCTGTTGCTCTGGCACAACAAATCTACTTTTTATTTTTATTTTTTTAAAACAACAACAACAACAACAACACACTTCTCAAGGTTGAGGAAGTTGTTAAATAGTGGGTAGACATAGCAGACGAAGCAGCGATTTCACCAAAGCAGCTCTTTATTTGTAAGCTGGAACAGAACTGAACAGCAAACAGCTCAGCCGGCCTGCTTTTATAGGCAGCCGGCTGTCAACATTGTAGCAACAACAACCCAGGGTTTCCCGCCTAAATTAACTGACGTGGACCTGAGTGAAAACTATATACACGATACTCCTGGTGGCCAGGGTGAGAACTTCAATACATAACAGAAGTGTACCCTGCAAATGAGAAGGTGTATAACTTCTGGACAAGTCAGTCGGGAAGAAGGTTCATTGTGGTGCAACCTCCTCAGGAATAAATCTGTATGCCCTCCGATTAAGCACTGTGCAAGCAAATACAGATGAAAGCTCAATAAGCAAGTCGTCTGCAATAAAAGTTTAAATTATTTTTGGGAAGTTTGTTCGCCATGTCTTAGGACATCTCCTAAGATATAATGAAATTTGGCATGATGGTATGAGATCAAAGAGCAGGGTGTATATTTTAAATATGAGAGCCAGTGTGGTGTAGTGGCTAAGAGCGGTAGTCTTATAATCTGGGGAACCGGGTTCGCGTCTCCACTCCTCCACCTGCAGCTGCTGGGTGACCTTGGGCCAGTCACACTTCTTTGAAGTCTCTCAGCCCCACTCACCTCACAGAGTGTTTGTTGTGGGGGAGGAAGGGAAAGGAGAACGTTAGCCGCTTTGAGACTCCTGAAGGGGAGTGAAAGGCGGGATATCAAATCCAAACTCTTCTTCTTAAATATACAATTAGATACCATTTTGAATTAAAATGGCATACTGAACTGCAGTTTCAAGACTGCACTGATTTTTCTGAGGATTCCCAAGCAGCAACAGGAACAAGCCTTCAGCTAATTCATAACCTGTGACCCACCAAGCTGTACTCAGAGATCCAACATTTGATAACTTATAGTTTTCGGTATCATTCAGTGGGGCTATTTCTACCTTTGCTCCTCTCCCTGTGGATGGTCATGTAGTGTGGCTGTGATTAAAATTGTACCCCTTCATATTTGTCACTTGCTTTGAGTCTGTGAAGGAGAGCAATGTGGAATACAAGTTTCATAGATGCATGAACGGGTGTTCTTATCCGTTTGGAAGGCCTTCATTTTAGGCAGCTTGGCCCTGGAGCAGAATATTATAAGAGCTGATTATCTGACCCTCCAGTTCAATAATTACTTGTGTGGTTTCTTTCAATGAGGCACGGTCTGCATGCAGGGACTACATCTACTCAGTTCCATGTGAAGAGCTGCTTATGTGCAGCCATCCCTGAATAAGAGATTGCCTGGCAAGAAAATAGTCTGCTTTGCAGAATACTGCACGAGGGACGCAGTGCACTGAAACATATTTAATTAAGAGAATACCCTTGCCATGTAAGAAAGCATAAATTTGTTTCCCCTTTGAACTCCAGTCTCTCCACCTCCTCATTCTAGAAACATCCCAGCTGCATTCTTTAATACTCTGACAGTTTTAAGAATTCATTATGGTCCAGCACAGCCAGCAGTCTATATCTATTTACCTAGCTGTAACTTTAAAAAGGTTGCTTTCCCAATGTGCAATGGCAACTGGTAATAAACTCCTCTGAGCTTGAGACATGGGAACATAGGAAACCGCTTCATTCTGTCATGGACTTCTCTCGTTTCACTCCAATCCTCCATATTGGTTGCACTATGTTGGTGCAATGATTTTATTTTTTAAAAATCCTCATAGAGTTTATGACAGAGTTTTGTAAGAGAAGCAAATCTTCCAGGATTGAGCAAGGCTTGAGTTTGTGGAATTCTACCAGTGGTCTTGTGACATTCCTGCATTTGTGTTTTCATTGAACAACGCCATAAATGGCAAGAAATATCAAAACACTTGAAAAAAATCAAAATTATTACTGTTGGAATACTGATGGATCATTATTCGATCTGAAAGGTGAGGTCTGAGAAGCATGAAGAAATTATTGTGGTTGTCATCAGAAAGGTCCCTTTGGCAGCAGTAACTGAGCTGTGGCACTCACGTTGCTAAGCCATTTCTCCATACTTTGCATAAGAAACAACAGGAGTAGCTTAAATATCATCATTATAGTGGTCAGGGGACTGCTGATTATAGCATTCACATATTTATGGCTACATCTGGGATGAGAGGATTTTCTTCTTTTGCAATAGCTTGCTGTAAAGAAGGAATTCCTTCAGTCAAATCATTGGCAGCTCGCACAGAAGTAAAACAGCGTTCTCTCTTGTGAAGTATGGAAGGAGTCCATTTGAATTATGATCTAATTTGTCTGCTTCTCTCATAAATTTTGCATGCAAAAGATCCTAGGTTCTGTTCCTTTCATATCCACCCAGAGCTGGAAAAAGCTTCTCTCTGAAACTTTGGGCACTCAGTCAATGTAAAACAACATCAAGCCACTGAACCAATGGTCTGACTTGGCCAAGGCAGCTCCCAGTGTTTCTAAAGACTAGAACTTAACATCAGTCTGTGAAATGGATTGGCATTGGGTTCAGCAAAGAAACTGCTTCTCTGCAAATTTTATTTATGAATTTCATTGCCACAAGATGTAGTGGTGACTACTTGTTCAGATAGCTCTAAAACGGGTGAAAAAAAATCTATGGAGGCTGTTAGCAATAATGGCTATGTGGAACCTTCATGTTCCAAAACAGCCACTGAAAATTAACTGCTGGGAAGAAATGGGGGCAGGCAGGGCAGAGAGCTGTGACATTTATATTTCAATTACATGGGCTTCCTGGAAGAATATTGTTGGTCACTGTGGGAAACAGAAAGTTGGGCTAGATGGACCTTTGGTTTGTTCCAGCAGGGGGCCATCTTATGTTCTTGAGGGACATGGAAGCATATAAGCTGTTGCCCAGCGGACATCATGTTATCTTATTCTGGTGGAATACTTGGCTGCTGATTATGACAAGGGAACAACAGTAGACTCATTGGTTGGGGTGGAGCTGCTACGCTAGGTTCCTGGGAAATGAGTCACTGCTGGTGAGCAGGAGGTGTAAGGCAACAGGGTGGTCAGCATGGTGCAAATGCCCTGGCAGAGCCAGTTTGCACCACACTGACCTTGCTGCCACCTCCTGTCTCCTCCTTCCTGGTCAGCAATAGCAATCTATCTGCTAGGACATTAGCATTGTGTGTCTGCCACATCCAATGAGCTGCTTCTGCTCATCCAGGCTCTCTTGTTATTGGCTCTGCATGTTACTGATGACTTTGATGTTTGCTGTGCAAGCAGCTGTTAGGAGCACAGAAAAAAAGTTTTCCCATTATTCCTCATTCTGGTGTTCCTTTCTGTTTCTGGCTGGATGTTTAAATCACAGATTCATGGTTTTAGACATGTTTTTCCTAATGTTTCTTTCATATATTTGTTTTATAGTTTTGGCTCAGTCAGACCTTTTTTCCAAGATGGCAGTAGAGAAAATTGTTTGCCTGAGCCAAAACTGTAAACAAAATATATTGGGGAAACACAATGTCCTAGTTTTGTGCCAGTAGAAATGGAAGAATATGTCAATTTCAGTTTTTCTCAGTTTCTTGCTTTTTCCAATCTTCACTTCACCAAATTGTCAGCATGTGGACACATTTTTGTATGCAGCTTTGCTTAAAATATACATTTCTACAAGCTGTTCCTCCAAATAAAATGCGTTTTTGTGTGCTATTTACACAGATATATGCATTTTATGCACACTTTCCCCTTAATATACATTTTTTTGTAGAAGTTATTTGGCTAAGAATGAAATCACAAAATTCAGAGAAATTTGAATTTCGAACAGTAGTTGTATTTCAGTCCCCATATTGTTTCAGGAAGAGCCAAATTAGCTAAAATTTGAACCAAAATGCATTCTACCCCACTCCCCATCCTTAGCTGTCAGTCAAACATATTCTCACTACTTAATAATTTTGTTTCCTTTACATTCAATTTCTTTCAATGAAATAACACTTCTATAAGCAAATTACTGCTTTCCATAACTGAGCTCTGTATTGATGGGTGAGCTTGGCATAATAATGAAATGACACACATTTGTCTCAGTGAAACACCTCACAGATGATAAAGTTTCTTTCCTGTTGAAGTCAGTGGCATTAATGGAGTTGGACTGTGGCTATTGTATACATAAAAAATAGTGAACTTAAAATAGAACAATAATGTTTATAGTGAAGGATTCAAGTGATTCGTACTAGCTAAAGGCATTGAGACCTAAGTACAGTGGTACCTCGGGTTACATACGCTTCAGGTTACATATGCTTCAGGTTACAGACTCCGCTAACCCAAAAATAGTGCTTCAGGTTAAGAACTTTGCTTCAGGATGAGAACAGAAATCATGCTCCAGCGGCGCGGCAGCAGCAGGAGGCCCTATTAGCTAAAGCGGTCTTCAGGTTAAGACCAGTTTCAGGTTAAGAACGGACCTCTGGAATGAATTAAGTACTTAACCTGAGGTACCACTGTACCTAATAGATCACCTCACTAGTAAGAACCACTTCAAGCCTTATGGCTGGCAAGGGAGGCCCTGTTAGTGTTGGTACTGTTGAATGTTGCCCGACTGCGAATGTAATGACAGGGCCTTCTCAATATGGTTCCCCATTTATAGAATGCCCTCCCTGGCGAAGTGTGTCTTTCTCCCTCATTATTAATATCAGGAGGAATTTTAAAACATCCCTGCCCTTTCAGAAAAGGAATGGAAGGACCTATCAATCTCTCGATTTCTCATTTTCCCCATTTTAAATTCAGTTCTCCACGTTTACAGCAATCTTACCCTGTTTATGTCGTGATTTTTAAGGACAAATCCTTTTTTTAAAAAAAAAAAATGCAGTCTTACACGGTTGGAGGCTGTACATACAAGGTGGTTTGTGGGCTACCTTTTTCTTCCTTTTAAGAAAATATCTGAAAGTTGCTTGGGAGAGTGGCGCCACGTGAATGAAATCTATTTTTAAAATGCTCCAGGAAGTGAGTGTACTTCATAATATGCCAATCTCTTACTGGATAATTTACAGGGGTGGGTGAGAGATGGCTGCCTTTACAATTTCACAGGAAGGGGTTGCACACTATGAGGTACAGTCACTTCCTGGATCATTTAAAAATAGTTTTTACCTGTGTGGCCCAACACTGCTGGGCTTCTCCAGGGAGCTTTAGCATGCTGGCTTAAAAAGAGAAAACGCAGCCCTGGTACCACCTCTTAGGACATTTGATGTATACTGTTCTAGGCAACCTTGAAATTGCTAGCTGTGAGGATATATGATCATTTTTCAAATGTTTTCAGGTGTCTTATTTATTTATTTTTCAATTGTAGCATTTGGCTGGCTTGTTGTTTGGCACCCTGGGCTCCTTTGGGAGGAAGGGCAGGACAGAAATTTAATCAATCAGTGAATAATAATAAAAACTGCTTTTCTGTGTTTACTTGCCTCTCGCCTGGATTTCTGTGATGATATATAATTTGATTTCTAGTCACCCTCCCCCGGCTCAATGTTTGCAAATTGGGAGAGATCCGTGAAAGAGGTTGATGTTTTTTCTTGCCTTTCCAGCTGAAAGACGGAGATAAATCCATATCGATATTCATGTGGAAGACTGTTTTTAAGTACAATAAACCCCGCAAAGTGGCACTTAAGGATGCAAGCCAGTGCACAGTTTCTTGGACTAAGCTGCATTGAACACAGTGGTTCTAGCCTCTGTACACAAAGGATTGTACCACAGCTCACTAATTATTCCCAACATGTCTTTCTAGGCAAGAAACGCATTTTAGAAAACAGAATATCAGGAGTTTGGTGGTTTTTTCAACTAAACTTGAAATGGGAACAAGTGCGAAATGAGAGCCCATCTCTCAGATACCATCAGAAGCAGGTGCTCCCTGGAAACAAGGCTGGAATACTGCAGTCTAACACATTTCTTGCTCTATTAGCTTTATAGGCTTGGCTCAGATAAAACAGTCTATTCTAATCAGCTGTTTAAACAAGACAAATGGAAACCATAACATATCTACACGCAGCATAAGATATTGATTTCAACCATGGCTGCCCTCCTTGTTACAGGATACCAGTAATTGCACCTACTTGCTCAGCTCAATGGATGCAGGGTAGTTTTGCGATCATTTATGGCTATCCTTTAAACTGCAGCATAGGTAGATTTTTGCATTGATCTCTCCGGGGCTAAATTGCAGGAGACCCTTTAGATAGATCAATTTGGTACATTAGTGTAAAAGGAGAAAGATAGGAAATGGGACAAAACAGGTGGTTTTATCTCCATATGCAGGGGTAGCCAAAGTGGTGCCCTCTGGAGAACATTAAATGTCAAGTCCTATCAGCCCCACCAACACTGGTCAATGATAATGGGAGTTGTAGTCCAACAACATCTAAAGGGTATCTCGTTGGCTTTCTATTGCTTTAAGGGGATATTTTAATCTGGCCTTTGGTCCATCAACTCTCATATTCTACTTTCCAATTGGCAGCGATTTTCTGGACCTCCTTCCCAGTATTGCTGCATGAGCTATTTCAAACAGAGACTAAATTTGTGGACCTATATGTGCAAAGGATGTGCCCTTCTTTATGCCTGATCGATGGCACCTTTCTGCTCAGATTGTTATGGACACAGCCTACCACAGTCCATTTCAAACAGATGTTAGGTGGGTTCTTCTGCTTCATTTGGTCCTGCACTATGTCAGTGAATGATGGCTTCAGACATTACATTATGAAGACAAAGCAAGCACTGGAATCACCCACATTCCTTCTTTCTACTCTACATGGGGGCATCCACAAAGGAGAGATTACACACATCTTCCTCTGCAGAAAGGTACTTGAAGAGCTCAGCCTGCATCAAAGGCTTGCACATCTCACAGCTGACCTCTTTGGATACTGCAATGCAAGGCACAAAGTGCAATCCCCGGGGAGTTGTTCACTCCCCTCCCCACCAGGCTTGTAACATCCGAAACTGTGTTGGGTGCAGAAAAAGCACATATCTTATTGCAAGCTTTGCCAAAATGCCCCCATCAGAGACTAAATGCAGAGTCGCTTTAGAAAAGGGTTCCACACACTGCTGTGCAGCACTGCCAGCAAATATCAAAATATATTATTAAAAAAATGATTTACTTTTACTGTTCACTTCCCAGAGCTGTGATAATATAACTGCTTTTTCAGCTACCTCATCTTGGATGAAATTCATTCCAGCTGCCAAGGGACCCATCTGTGGATGCTTATTCTCGAAGAGCTTTTCTTTGTAGGAATATTCCTGCAAGATTTCCTGATGCCTTTAGATGCTGTCATTGCCAATTTGTGGCTTGTGGGGGCGGGGCACCCTCCTCCATCGAAGACTCACGGGATATTCGTTTTATATAGCTGTGTGCTTGAACGATCCTTTCTCCCCGTCACAGTATAATGCTTCCATAAAGATAATGTATAATGTTGCTTGTCAAATGCAGATGGGTGACTGGACGTACCCTAATATGGAATTAAATGAGAATTCTTGTTGTTATTTTTACCTTTGGCATGAAGACTTGGCTTAGACCCCATAATGCTTGCTAAAGTTTTTCTCCTGGCTGAGGGTAATCAGTAGCAAGAGCTATGAGAATGTATTGTTCAAGAAACCTTCCCTCAGCATTTTAATTGAATGAAATCTTGATATGATATTTAGCCAAAGGCGGGGCAGAAGAAGCTTCTTGCAGAGCACTCATAACACTATTCAGTTCCTTATTACCACAACATTTTCCTCTGGAACTCCATACCACAAGCTCATTATGGGACAAAAGGAAGGGAACATGGCAGCGACAAAGTTACTCCTGAAATGTGACTAGACTCAACAGAGCCAGGTTGTGTCTCTGACCTAACTATCCATGAGGACCTATTCTTTTCTTGGTTGGCATTTCATTATATGATATTCTTTAATAACATAATGTTACCTCATACAGTCCTTTGCATTTGAGGGGATAATATGGGATCGTGAGGTGAAAGTAGACATTTAGCAATTTAGCCAGAAGGCCACAGCGTTCTATTCACCAAAGGTAACTCCTATTAACAGTGTTCCAAACATGGTGTTTAAAGAGGTTTAGCATGTTGCTGTAGGCATAAGAGAGCAGAGGGCACACACTGCAATAGCAAGAGTCTGGCTAATTGATGGCTGAAGGTACAGGAATCAAGGAAAACGAATTATTATATTGTACCCTGAGGCTTACAAGGGAAGCCAGCAAGATCCGTACAACAAAGGGTAAGAGAAAACAAGACTGAGTTGTGTGGGGGGAAATAATAATCAAAGTCTGCACTACACAGTAACTGATCTTTAATCTGACAAATCCACATGGTTTCACGGACCACCAAGAATAGCCTTTGCCAACCTGGTGCCCTCCTGATGTTTTGGACTGCATCTACCACTGGCTCCAGCTAGCACAGCCATTGTGGGGGCTGAGCTGTGAGCCTCCAGGTTTTGGAGTCAGGAAAGTTTCCCTATTTATCTTCACAGTGGGGCCCAGGCAATGGGTCTGTGCCTTGTCATGCCCTTTGGCTGGACAAGGTTTGCCTCACCCAAGTCAGTTAACTTAGAATAGTTTCCCACAGAAGTCTGCCATAATATATGTTATCGGAGTTCAAGCCATTTCCTGTTTCTTAACTCTTTGTTCCTGGTTCTGGTCACAAGACTTGACTCAAAACATGGGAATTCCATTTAGCCAGTCAGTTCCATTGCTCAGGAGCCAGGTGTTGTAGCCAGAAGTTGCTGAACTACAATTTCCAGCAGCCATAGCTTGCATAATCAGTTGTTAGGGATGGTGGGAGTTGTAGTTCAGCAACAACTGTAGGGCTGCAAGTTCCCCATCCCTACCATAGTTATTAGCTGGGGATATATTTATTCTCTATGGCAACCCTTCCAACCTGGTGCCATACAGATATTGGACCACAGCTCCCATCATCTCTGAACATTTGGCTGGGCCTGATGGGAGTTAGAATCCAGCATAATCTGGAGTTGGTGAAGGCAGTGGCGAAGCTGCATGCTCCGCTACCAGGAGTGGAGAGCAGGCGGGGGCATGGTGCGCGCCCGGGGGCATGGCACGCCACCCGCAAGGGTGTGGTGCACAGCCTGGGGGTGTGGCACGCTGCCCGCGAGGGTGTGGCGCACCACCCACAGGGGTGTGGAATGTGGTCTGGGGGTGTGTCATGCTGCCTGTGGGGGCATGGCACCCGGCGCATGGGGGGTGTGGCACGTGCCCAGGGGGGCACCGTGATGGCACCCTGCTGGAATAGTGGTGCTGTGGGTGGTCCGCTCCCTGCACACTCCCATTCCTCCGCCAGTGGGTGAAGGCAACTTGATGGGTCAGCTTCAGACTTCCTATGAGAGGAGTTCTGATCACAGGAAGCTCCCACCGAAGGAAGTGGGGAGGCAATTTTTGCTACCTCCCTCTTCCCCTGCAGCCTCTCCAATATTTCCTGGTGGGTTGGAAGCCCTTCAGAGCTGGGGCTGCATCTTCAGAGATGGGGAAAACCATCTCCTCGTCTTCCTCCAGCGTAGGTGTGGGGAATCTTTAGTCCAACAGATGTTACCGAACTATAACTCCCATTATCCCTGGCCATTTTCATGCTTGCAGGGGATGATGAGAGTTCAGCAATATCTGGAGGACCAAAGGATTTCTACACTTGTTCCAATGGAACCCCACACTGAATAGGAGTCTCTTCTGCAGATGACTCCAAACTTATGACTATGTCTTTAAATAGATGGCTTTAATTAAATATTAAAGCCATTTAAGCCAGTAGCCATCATCACATCTTAGAGCAGCAAATTCCATAAGTTAATTCTGCATTTCCCGAAGATATGTTTTCATTTTCCTGCCTAACTCCACTGCCAGTCAATTTGATTTGATGACCCCAAGTTCTAGTATTGTGAAAGAGGAAGATGTGTATCTCTTTTCACTCTCTCCACTCCATTAATAACTTTACAAAACCATCATATTTTTAATTAAAAACTTCTAAACACTTTAGCCTTCGCTTATAGGGCAACATGCTTCAACATCCCTTGATTGTGTTTCTTTTCCATGGTAGCCTTTTGGATTTTTTAGATTGGCACATAGTATTCCAAATGCAGCCACACCATCAATGTTCATAAAAGCAGGGGAAGGGCCATAGCTCAGTGGTAGAACATCTGCTTTGCATCCAGAAAGCCCTGGGTTCAATATCAGGCATCTCCAGTTTGGGCCAAGGTTGACCCATCTGAAATCCTGGAGAGTCAACCAGTGTTAAAAATACTCCAGTAGTGGGATCTATGTGAACATACATTGTCTTATACAGTAGTGGCAATGGACTCTCCAGGTGTCTCTCCTAGCTTTCCCTGGTGTGTCTCTTCCAGAGAGATGCCTCTCCAAGCTGTACCTGGAGATGCCAAGGATTGAACCTTTTTTGCATGCAAAGCATATGCCCTGAGCCACAGCCCTTCCCTTTTATCCTGGCTCCTGTGATTCCTACCATGAATCTTGCCGTTCTCAGTACTACTGAGACATTGGTGTTTTCATTCCGTGGGCCACCACAAAATCAAGATCTCTTTCCTAGATAGTCATAACCTTTTCAGTTCCTACATATACATAAGATCTTTTGTCTTAATGTGCATCAGATTAGGCTTATATTTTGTTGCCCATTTACCCAGCTTCAGCCATGGCTCATGAGGTGAGTCGAAACCACTAGCTTCACTGCAGATGTCCTGCTGTTGCTTATTGGGAGGCATGGGGTGGAAGAGAGGTTTTGATGCTGCAGATGAACTGGCAGGGATTACACTTGCATCACATCAACCTCCCCTTGTCTCACCCCTCCCAGTATGCAAGAGATAACCACCTGCTGAAAGGCGAGCATAGTGGCTCACCTGGCAATCTGCTTCTGCCCAGTTTGGGGAGATCCCTTTCAAGCTGTTTGAATCATCACCATCCTGAATTATTTGGTGTCATCCACTAACTAAGGCCCGTCCCTTCTCACTCCAGTATCATTTCTTTGAAGGTGAAAGAGTGATGGTCCCTTGGGAAATCTCACTGCTTATTTCCTTCCATTGTGAAAAGCGTCAGTTGACTCCCATTTCATTGTCTTTAACCAGTTATTGATCAGCAAGAGGACTTGTCCTCTTATTCCCTGGCTGCAACGTTTCCTTAGACTCAGGAAGGGACTTTGTCAAAATTCCAAGTTTATAATGCAGCATAGGCAGTTCTTATGAGGCTTTAATGTTGAGTAATATTGTTATAGTTATAGTCATTATCATTTCAGCATGAGTAGCCAGTACTGCATAATTTAATAATATTACATGTCTTAGAAAAATTATTCATCCTCCAGCCATGAGTCATGACATGAGATTTTATTAGAAGAAAGACAATAGATTTATTTGTAAAATCTTTGCTGTGTTCTAGGAATTCTGATTTTTAAGTAAGTTTTCTAGACTGCACAAAGGCTTGCCATGTTTTGACTATGGTTGCAGCCCTTTGGGTATATTTCTTCACTTTATTTATTTCAAAACAATGCAGTGAAAGGAAGCTCTAAGTACTGCTGCTTTTTGAGTTCTTCTTATCCAACAATTCTTTCCTTGTATTTGAAGAATTCGATAGCTCCTTTCACACCATCAATGTATAGTGGTGGAAGGGAAGTGGGCCTGTGCTGCTAGACCTGTCCCAAATCTCATGCCCTCCCCAACTTCACCCCCTCAGCATCTGTACAGGAGCTGTAATTCATTTTTTCTGACCAAACCTGCCACACATTACCAGGGATAAGCTTCTTCGTATCTACACATCTAAACACTTTCCAGCTTCTCCAAAGATGGAGCCAACACTTGCAGTTTCAGGATATTTCTCAGCAGTTGCTGTGGAAGAAAAAAACTAATAAGGCTGGGCTCCTGCATTGGCTATCTCCAAATTTCCTCTGTTGTTTTAAAGCTAATCTAATTGGCTGGCTATCTCAGGAATGGATGTCAGGATTCTGTGTAGCATCAACTGAGGAATATCTTTGACAAAGTAGCCACTTCCTTATGGTTTCATCCTCTAGACTGTGGATTGGCAAACCAGATGTTCAGAGACCTTCAGACAAATCCCCTCAGTTGGATCTAGACATTACCACTAACAGAAGGATCTGTTTTTGGCAATGATTAAACTCAGCAGGAAGCGTCACAACGAATTGTGCTAAATGAAGCATGACCTTACAAAGTCTTAATACAGATCAAACCGATTTAGGTTTTTGTTCTGTTTCTCCCTTCATGGTTCTGCACATGAAGCACAAAATAGACAGGAAGGTAGGGGAAAGGACAGAAAGAACATTACAATAATGTGCCTACGTATCTGTGGTTTCAAAGCTAATTTAAAACCTTCAAACGAAAAGCAAATGGTAGTGATATTGTTTACTACTGCCATAATCTTTCCAGCGCCTTCAGCAGTTTGTTTGGATCAGGTTCTGAATGTCTGCTAAGAAATGGTTTGGAGAAGGATAGTCAAGTTAATTAAATAAAGATGGACATGTGAAAATAATGGAAATCCGCCATGGAAATGGCCTTGGGAACTGTGGCTGCTTATTTTGAGGTCATTCTAAAAGGAAGTTCAGTTTGATGTATCAAAACAGTTAGTACATCAAAGCTCTGTACAGGAGTTGTTTATAAGACTATATACTCTCCTGTGCAAAGACTTTGGCTAAAGTCACAAGTAGGGATGGGGAATCAAACAAATTCAGTTCACAATTAAAGGAGAACCTACCTAATTCACACATTTTGAAACAATATGTGCACTAAAGCATAGATTTTTCAAAATTTACATTTCTTCAAATTTTGCAATGCATTTCTCCAGACAAGCAATGTATGCAAAAATGCATATGTAAGGGCAAGGTGTGCACAAAACTGTGTATACAGCTTAAAATAGCATATAAAATGCATTATATTTGGGGAAATTGCATTGCAAAAATGAGTTTCTTAGGCAAAACTGCGTACAAAAACATGACAGTTACAATAAATCTGCGCTAAAATGCTAATGAATTTTCATGAGAACCTTATACCCCCCCCCCAATTTATTTATTTTTACAAACAGATATGGAAATATGGAGAACTGAAAATTGGCAGCCATCTCAGGTCACCTGGTGGTAAAAACACCCCTTCCCCAATTGAATGAACTTTCAGCTTTCTCCACATGGACATTATTTCCCAAACCTGAAGAACAGCATGGTTTATCTTACATTACCTACTGGAGCTGCTTTTGGAATACCACTTTATAATATCAATGAATATTTGCATGATATGAGAGCGTTACAAACCCTGCTGGAAATCATGAATGTAAATGAGTTAATAAAAAAGGCAATATATTATTTAGTATTTTTTTCAGTGGGTTACTTTAGAGCTGTCCATTAATAAGCATCAAGTAATTTAAAGTTGAGGGGGAACAGAAAGCACATTATGCCTCCTGATGAAACACATTTTCAGCCAATTTCTTCCTCCCCCCCTTCTCGAAATATTGCCAATCAAACACCAGGACACTGCTGACTGTTAATCATTGCCAAGTGTTCAGAGCTGATAAGCCTAATGGCAGAGAAAGGGGGGAAGCATTCATTCCTAAAGAGAAAGATTAAATTCTGTACTAACAGAAGATGAAAACCCATTATGATCAAACTGGATAGATTCAATCACTGGCTGATTCTGAACAAATTAGGCAAAATAACAGATTGTAGAATTATGCGTAATTTATTCAGTTTACAGAATGCAACTTCACACAGAATTTTGAATACAGAATAAACACTTTTTTTGAAGAGTTAAAAATAATGTTTAACCAGACAAGCAACATGAATGAGCAGTGCTTTGCAATCTGTTCTAAACTAAGAAATTAACACACACACACACACACACACACACACACAGGGGTGTGCTATCGTAACATTTAAAAATGTTGTCTGGATTGGTTAATGGAAGGTGCGTTAGCAGATAAGCTTTTATAGGAAAGATTTGACAATCAGACATGTATTTATTTATTTAAACCCTTTTATCCCACCTTTTGGGAGGTGGGTGGCACTGTGGTCTGAACCACAGAGCCTAGGGCTTGCCGATCAGAAGGTCAAAGGTTTGAATCCCCGTGACGGGGTGAGCTCCCGTTGCTCGGTCCCTGCTCCTGCCAACCTAGCAGTTTGAAAGCACGTCAGAATGCAAGTAGATAAAAAGGTACCGCTCTGGCGGGAAGGTAAATGGCATTTCCGTGAGCTGCTCTGGTTTGCCAGAAGTGTCTTAGTCTTGCTGGCCACATGACCCGGAAGCTGTCTGTGGACAAATGCCAGCTCCCTCAGCCTATAGAGAGAGTCGTCCGCGACTGGACCTAACAGTCAGGGGTACCTTTACCTTTACCTTTCTGTCACCTTTTAACCATAACAAAGGCCCCTGAGGTGGTTTAGGTGAAAAGAAAATGCCACAACACCAGTTTAAATGATAGCTGAGTTAAAGCATTAGAGAGAGAGAGAGAGAGAGAGAGAGAGAGAGAGAGAGAGAGATGAGCAGAGTTAAAACCCATAGGGTTGCATCCATTGCTGCTGTTCTGTCTCTGCAATAGAACTTCTTCACCCCCTGTATCTCCCCTGCACCCTCAAAATCTGGGGGTTGGCATACTTTCTGGAGCAGCTGGAGAAAGTAAGAGGAAGGGAGAGGAAGGGGAAGTCTCACTGCGCAAATGGAACGCCGTTCCTGCCAAACCCTCTCTCTCGAATGTTAAAAAACATTAAAATTCAAGCGGAATAAAAATGTTTTCATTGCTTGCTTTAAAAGTCACCACAGATGGGGCAAGTCTATCTTCTCTAGGAAAGGAATTTCATAAATGCAGAAGACAATTTGCCCTGCATTCCCACCAACCAAATCTCAGAAGATGCTCTCGACCTATGGACAGGTTTATATGGGAGGAGTCTGTCTTTTAGATATCCTGGCCTTGAGACACTTCAGACTTGAGAAACAAGCATCAACACCTTGAATTTTGGCCAGAAACTAATTGCAAGTTGTTGCAGTTGATCAGGGCTATGAATCAGGGTTTGAAGCAGCCACCTCAGGTGACAGAGGCCCCAAGGCAGTGCCCCCATAGTCACCCCTGCCCTGCCACCTCCACTTCTGATTTCTGGAAAGATATAGCCAGAAATGGGCAACGATGCTCACATTGCTTCTCTGCCAGAGGGGTGTGTGGCACAGCGATGGTACCAGCGGAGATAAGTGGCCCAGCGGTAGAGGTGGCATGGCACAGAGGGGTGGCACTTGGATGGCACAGAGGGGTGGCACTTCAGTGGATTCTTGCAATTTATACAAGATTGGGGTTGTGGTTGTTGTTGTTTAGTCGTTTAGTCATGTCCGACTCTTTGTGACCCCATGGACCAGAGCAAGCCAGGCACTCCTGTCTTCCACTGCCTCCCCCAGTTTGGGCAAACTCATGTTAGTAGCTTTGAGAACACTGTCCAACCATCTTGTCCTCTGTCATCCCCTTCTCCTTGTGCCCTCAATCTTTCCCAACATCAGGGTCTTTTCCAGGGAGTCTTCTCTTCTCATGAGGTGGCCAAAGTATTGGAGCCTCAGCTTCATGATCTGTCCTTCCAGTGAGCACTCAGGGCTGATTTCCTTAAGAATGGATAGGTTTGATCTTCTTGCAGTCCATGGGACTCTCAAGAGTCTCCTCCAGCACCATAATGCAAAAGCATCAATTCTTCGGCGACCAGCTCTCAATTCCATACATCACTACTGGGAAAACCATAGCTTTAACTATACGGACCTTTGTTAATATTGTCTAAAAAAGAGTACACCAGAAAGCCATCTGGCTGCTGCATGTTGGGGAAGCTGCAGTTTCCAAGCAAACCTTGTACACATGAATTTAGTTTGTTATTCAAGACTTATGGCGTAAGCGACTGCGTGTGACATCCAAAAAGTTCTTCTGTGGCATGTATTTATGCCAAAGTTAGGCAAATGTTACCACTGATGAATATTGCCTGGTCTGCTGTACAATGACCCTCTGAATTCTGGGGAAATCACAGTGGGTGAATGTATCTGCTTTTGTTTCTGGAATAGCACTGATGTCTGTGTGTTCTCTTTATGGGTTAAGAATGTGCATCAGTGCATAGGCACTTTAATTAAACCACAGCAGAGAAATACATTTTGATGTGAGCACATTGATTCCTTTTTGTGCTGTGATTGAATCAATGCTCAAATGCATTGGTGTATTTTAGTAACCTATAGGAAAAGGAAGAAAAACGTAGCTGAAAACTGCAGCAAACTACATGTGCCCCAGTTCTGAAATTACTTTTAGAAATTCTGCAGCTCATATCAGAAGCGAGACGGGGCAGAATGAGGGGAGAACAATAACCGAACTAGCAGACCTTAGCCCTACTTAATAGGACAGAACAAAAATGAGCTATGCATGAGCTGCAGTCTTGATCCCAAAGAATCTTACATTTTAAGCACAGTACCCAAAAATTATCTATATTGTAGTCTGCTTGTGGCAATCAAGGCTTTGCAATCAGTTGCCTGAGCTGGTATGATGGGCCTGAATGTTCACAAATATCTCAATTACTTAGGATTCCAAGCTGTCAGGCTGTTTCAAGTCCTTCTCCAGCTTCTGTAAGAGAGGGGGAAGTCACAGAAGCTCCCAGAGGCAAGAGAATGAGTGTAGAATAGCAAAGAGGGTCAACAACAGTGATGTTAAGGACTGGATTTCATATTCTTGTATCAGTATATTATTATTATTATTATTATTATTATTATTATTATTATGCTTGCAACCAAAAAAGTCTCCACACAATTTATCTTTATGAATTATTTGTATATTGGGGATTATTAATAGCAATACATTTATTGTTTTTCTATGAAATAAAATCTTAGTAGCCTGGTAAACAGTATCTCTCTACCTGTCATTTTATGGACTGATTGCACATGGTGTGATCTAGAAGGGGTCACTCTCAGACTAAATGTCTATTGCAGAAAATATTTCAAAGTCATCATGACAGGTTGTAATGAAATAACCTAAACTCTGTTTGAATCGGAATGTCATAATGAAGGCTTGAATATCACTCTAGTCCAAACCTTGAACGGAAGGTAAATTCAAGCAAGGCAGCCATATAATGAATGATGTAAATCACAGCAGGCACTGGAAATGAGATGCCCCACTTTCTCTTTGGTCTCTTGTGAACTCATTAAGGCAGCAAATATGTTTCCGAGAGCAGCTGAAACCACGTAAAGAAAATATTGGTACCTATAACATGAAATACTTTCAACTGAGAAGACAATTATTTCAGCGTTAGGCACTGTGGCTGGTGTTCAGCACAGGGCTTCCGTCACCAAAAGCTTCCAAACCTATGAAGCAAATTTTGTTTTAAATTAATTGATACATGGCGTTTCATGTTTTTAAATGACATGCACTTCATCTTGCCTTATCACAAAGTAAAAATTTGTGGTAAGATTAAGTAGTACAAGCAGCTGATCAGTGGAGTGGGGCAATCTATGTAGGTAATAAGTCTGTGCTAGCAAAATTCAGTTTTCTCCAGAATTTAGATTCCTATGTAAACCTGTAGTAGTAGTATTAATAATATTAATAATAATAATTTATACCCCACCCATCTGGCTAGGTTTCACCTGCATACCTGAAGGAGTGCCTCCACCCCTATTGTTAAGCCTGGAAACTGAGGCCCAGCTCCAAGGGTCTTCTGGCGGTTCCCCACTGTGAGAAGTGAAGTTACAGGGAACCAGGAAGAAGGACTTTTTGGTAGTGGCTCCCAGCCTGTGGAATGCCCTCCCATCAGATAGATAACCAATTACATGACTTTCTGAAGGCATCTGAAGGCAGCCCTGTATTGGGAAGTTTTTAATGCTTGATGTTTAGTTGTGTTTTTATATTATGTTGGAAGCTGCCCAGAGTGACTGGGGCAACCCAGTCAGATTGGCAGGGTATAAACAATAAATTGTAGTAGTTGTTGTTGTTCAAGCTTGGTGGAAACATTCCCCACTCCTCAAAAAGGGTCTCAAAAATGGTCAAACATAGGAACCTTTAAACAGCCTTGCAGAATGACATAATATTACCAGCTCTTTCAGGCTATGCAGATTTCATCTACATAGTTTAAACAAAAAAGGTACCTTTGTTAGCCTCTCTCAGCAAAATCCGTTTCTTACATGGCAATTCTTTGCATATCTATTCAGAAATATGTCTCTGGGACATGTGAACTCCCAGGTAAGTGTGCACATATAGCAGGGATGGGGAATAGATGCCTTTCACATGTCATCAGACTACAATACCCATCATGCCTGGCCATCCTGGTTGGGGCTGATGGAAGTTGGCCAACAACATCTGGAGC